TTCCTGAGGAGGCCGAAAGAGAGTGTTGGGGGGTGGGGCCCTGTGAGGGATGGCGAGAGAAACACCTCCAGAAAGGGGGCTCCTTTCCCTGAAGACGGGGAGGAGCAGAAGACCAAGGGCTGCCTCTGCCCCCACTCTCTGCCTGGCTGGGGGTGGGGAGCAGGAACCTCTCTGAGCCCTCTGCGTCCTTCTGCGAGGCAGAGGGAGGCGAGGGGCTGGCAGGCCACGTCAAAGGCTCTAGAAGCGGGAAGGGCAGAAGCTTCCGGAAGGCGTCTCAACAGGGGGGTTCTGTGCAGCAGCAGCAGCGGCGGCAACACACCAGAGCCAGACTCCACCCAGCGCGGCCTGTGTCAGACTGGGGGGGGGGGGGGGGAGGGATGAGACAGTAGTCAGTGGTGGAGGAAGGCAGGCAGGAGTGGCCAGCTGCCAGGCTCCGTGGCCCACGAGCCCCTTCTCACCGTTCACGGCCCCAACGGTCAAAGAAGCCCCACGGAGCCATCCCTCGCTTGCGCCGCCGTTGTCTGCTCAAAACCATTGCCTTCGGAGGCATAGGGGTCCACCTCGTACTCATAGGAGTAGTAAGAGAAGTCAAGTGGGAGGGTGGGGCTTTCCTCTGCAGGGGGGGGGAGAGCGAGAGAGAAAGAGAGAGAAACTGTGAAGGGGGCAGTGCTGGACCCTTCCACCGCATCGCCCTTGTCTCCTCCTCCCTACAACTGCAACTGAGCCAGCATAGGGTTGAAAAAAAGACATGGAAAAGTCAGGCCTTCACCCCTCTCCCATCACTGGGAAACTGGCTCAGAGCTCCTGGTTTGGGGGGCGGGGGATTTGCCCGGTATGGTTCTCCTGTGCAACAAGGTGTGAAATGGAAGATCGATCCATTTGGACCCTCCTGGGCTGAGAACCCTGGAATGGGAGCAGATTTCAGATGGAGTCGGTTCATGTGCTTGCTGGGCCTGTAGACACCGTTCCCACCAACACAGATTAAATGGGCCCAGAGCTGAGCCCCTGTAGAGGCCGTCCTTACCTGTCAGCATCTGCTGTTGTTGGGCAGGCCGCTCAGGGGTGTGAAAGTGCTTTTCTCTCCCATCAGGAGTGTTCTTTGCTGCATAATATACATTTATATCTTAGATCAATACAGTGAAGCAAACAGAAGGCAGTTAAAACTCAGTTATATCCCCAGCAGGAACTCATTAGCATAACAGGCCACACCCAACAACAGAAACTCATTAGCATATCCAGCCACACCCATGAGAGCATAGCTCATTAGCATATTAGGCTGCACCCCCATGTTACCAGAAGTATAGTCATCCAGCCACACCCACCTTTTGCTACTTATTCTGTTTACCTTGTTTGTTGTCCAAACCTAGGGCTTTTTTGTAGCAAGAAACTCCTTTGCATGTTAGGCCACACCCCTAATGTAGCCAATACTAATGAGTTTCTACTGTTGGGTGTGGCCTATTATGCTAATGAGGTCCTGCTGGGCGTGGCCAACTCGGGAGCCAGCCGGAACTCCGTTCCTGTGCGTTCCTGCCCCAAAATAGCCCTGGTTATATCAACAATATTAGTCATTAGAAACATGAAGCTAGATGACAGCACTATATGTTGGATTCTGTGGATCTGTTCCACTGGGGGTGGCATTCTCCTCCTGAGAAAGAAGCTTTCTGCCAACGCAAAAGGCTCCTATGTTAGGAAAAGGCTCCCCTGCACCGGAGGGAAGCAGCACCGCCAGTGGAACAGATCCACAGTCCACTTCCAGCCGAGCATGGAAGTCAATTCCAGGTGAAAGGGCTGAGGTACAGCATGCAGCGCCAATGTGGGTGGGATCCACGGAAAGGCATGCCTCCCTGTCTGCATGGTGTCCAACGGTGCTTCAGACCAATCCTCCCTCTTAAGCTGTGGAGCCTTGTGAGCCAAAATTCTACTTTGTGAGCTACGGGCATTGAAGTGGTGGGTGAGCCATTTGGCTACTGCATCAATTAGTTTGCTCCGGGGCCATCCTTCCTGAGCTAAGACCAAATGGTGTGAGCCGGAGGTGAAAAATCATGAGCTAGCTCACACTAACTCAGCTTAGAGGGAACACTGCTTCAAACTGCCATCTTTCCACCAAGATCGCGCCAAATCAGATTTGGGAAAGATCACAGCAAGACAGAGGAAAACACAGCAGCGGGATGAGCAGCGGGGCAATGCGTGTGTGTGTGTGTTCCCAGAAACAGAGCTGCGGGAGGGAAGCCGCCCTGGGGGAACAAGCCCTGGCTTATTTTTGCCAGGTTCCACAAATCCCCATTGCGTTCTCTGGTATTAGGCATTTCCACAGGGTGTCAAATACTGAGTAACTATCGTCTGAAACTGTCGACATCCTGTATACTAGGACACATTTATTTATTTATTTCATCTCATTTCTCCCCAATGGGGACCCAAAGCAGCTTTGCATCCTTCTCCTCTCTGCCATTTTATCCTCGCCACAACCACCCTGTGAGGTAGCCCAGGCTGAGGGTGTGTAACTGGCCCCCAAGGTCAGCCAGGCAACTTCTATGGCAGAAGGGGGGATTCGAACCTGAGCCTTGCAGATCCTAGCCCGGCATTCTGACCACTGCACCACACCGGCTCTTTTGTGCGTTAAAAGAAGAAGAAGAGTTGGTTTTTTATAGCCCGCTTTTCACTACTTAAAGGACTCTCGGAGCGGTTTACAATCTCCTTTCCTTCCTCTCCCCGCAGCAGTGAGGTAGGTGGGACTGAGAGCTCTGAGAGAACTGTGGCATGCCCAAGGTCACACAGCTGGCTTGCATGTGGGGGGGGGGGAGAATCAGACCCGGTTCTCCAGATTAGAGTCCGCTGCTCTTAAGCACTACACCAAACTGGCTCTCTTTAACAGGAAGTTTAAAAAAAACAACAACAACAGATCGGCATCTCAAGATAAATTTAACATCCCCACAGCAGGAAGAACTTACCCCCTCCTGTGCACTGTGCCATGGAGACCTGCTTGAGGCGGGTGCCATTTCTGCAGGCAGCAACCTCCATCTGGCAGCGGTTCTGGTAGATGAGCCCATCCGAACCGCACACCAGATCCCCGTCGTAGCCACAGTCACGGGAGCACAGACACTGCTCAAAGTAGCCGTCTTCCAGGCAGCCCAAGACGCTGTTACAAGGCCCAGCTGGGATAAAGCCTGGAATGGCAACCGGGGGGGGGGCGCTTCAGTTCACAGCTCAAGGGGCTCCGGGGCCCGGGGTTTTGCTGCACCTGAGCAAAGCCAGAACTGCAAGCCCCTAGAATTCACGCCTGTGGGTGGCTTCTGCACATGTTTCCCGCTGACCAGTTGGCTCAAAAACATTCTGGCAGACTGAGAAATTGCCGTCCCTGATCAATCAGGTGGCAGATTTTGTAGAGTCATTTTTCCAACACAGGTCACACCAGCAGGAAAAGCCGCAGGGGAAGTGTGGCTTTTTAGAGCCACAACAAACTGAAGTGCGCTATCGTGATCTCACGTTCCCCCGCGGCTCCGTCCTCCGGCAGCTGATCACACCATGCGAGGCAACAACGACGCACCACGTTTGTGCGCATGCATGGGGGGGGGAGTTACTTCCCCATTTCTGCTGCTCCGTGTGGAACATTCTGAGCATGCAGAACAGCAAAAACAGGGAAATAACTCCCTCCCCCAGCACTGTTTCAGTGTGGGAAAATTGGGGGGGGGGAGGCAGGATCCCTTCCTCCCCCAACAGGGGCATTCTGCATCCATATGGGGCTGTCCCCGATTTTTAAAAAACCATTCCCCGCACAGCTGCTGTATGGCTGTGGAGAACAGGGATTCAACTCATTAAAACCCAAACATGCAGGTAAAGGTAAAGGTTCCCTTGCTCGAAAGCCAGTCGAATCCGACTCTAGGGTTGCGGTGCTCATCTCCGTTTCCAAGCCGAAGAGCCAGCGCTGTCCGAAGACGTTTCCGTGGTCATGTGGCCAGCATGACTAAACACCAAGGCGCACGGAACGCGGTTACCTTCCCACCGAAGTGGTACCTATTTATCTACTTGCAATTTCTTGCTTTCGAACTGCTAGGTTGGCAGGAGCTGGAACTAGAGACGGGAGCTCACTCCATCATGCGGCACACTCGGGTCTCGAACTGCTGAACTACTGACCTTGCACAGCCTGCAGTTCAGCGTCTTAACCACTTGAGCCACCGCAGCTCCAGAAA